GGGGCAGGGGAGGGGGCACTGAATATGCTCATCATCTTGATTTTGGTCATGGTTTCATAAGTGTATATATACATATCAAAACATCAGATTGGGACGCCTGGGTGGCTCAGTCAGTTAAGCGTCTGCCTTCGGCTCAGGTCATGATCCCAGGGTCCTGGGATGGAGCCCCACATCGGAGCCCCACATCAGGCTCCCTGCTCAGCGGGGAGCCTGCTTCTCCCTCCCCATGCTGCTCCCCCTGCTTGTGCGCTCTCTCGGACAAATAAACATACAAAATCTTAAAAAAACCCAAAAAACCCCATCAGATTGTACACTTTAAATATGTGAAATTTATTGCATGTTAATTATACCTCAATAAAACTGTTAAAAATGAAATTTAAAAATGAGACACTAATATGTAATGTTTGTTAATTTACTCATTTATTTGCTTTTTCTTTCATTTAACAGAATTTATTGAGTGTCTTAATTGTGCCAGAAGATAAAAGAGGAAAGAGATGGTCTGCTTCTAAGTCTAGTAGAGGAGCCAGGCAATGGCAGTTCTGCATGATACTCTCGTTGGATGTACCCATAGGAAGCTAAGAAACTGTCAAGATTAGTGTGTGTGTTGGGGAAGGCTTTTCAGAGGGCCTTGACCCTGAGCTGAGTTCTGAAGGTTGAGGAGGGAGGATGGGTTGTTTAGGTGGCAAAGACTGCACCTTGCTGTCTTAACCAAGGCCTAGGGGAGAGGACAGGCCCTGAGGCAAAAATCATAAAGCATTGAGCTTTACTGATGATAGCTCAATTGCTATCAGACAGTTCACAAGTCTGCTTGGTACATGTGGGTCAACTTTAATAAAAGCAAGACAGTTCTTTCTTTTAATTAAGAAAAAACAATACATCAACACCAAGCAACGAAAGAAAAGAAAATCCAGGTCTGTTTTTCATGGATTATCTGGTTTATCTTATAGGAATGTAAGGCCTTTTCTAGGCTATAGACATATAAAGTCCAGAAAACAACAACAACAACAACAAAACATTTAAGTTGTACTGTAGAGAATGAGAGAGGAAGGTAGGATTGGAGAGAGACTAGTTAAAGGAATTCAGGGAAAGGATCATAGGGCTGAACTAAGGCAATAGCAGAAGGAATAGAAAGTGGATCAATTTTAAAATTATTAAGGTGGGGAGAGGACATTCAGCAGTCCCTTTAGCCTAGTTCCAAGTTTTGGTCAAGGTGTCTTCACTTTTTTTTTTGTCTTCACATTATTAAATGCATCTTCAATGATGAGCACTTACATTTTTTTTTTTTT